GGAAATGTTAAATGATACTTTGTAAAACAAAGAGAATCTGTATTGACACTAATTGCTGTTGTATTATAAAATATGTAACAACGTGAAGATTTTAATATAAATTCAAGATAGGCAATAATCGTCAGATAATGAAGAACGTTTTGACAAGCAAACTCAATGACTTTGCGCAGTTTGTACATGAGAAGAATCATGGAGAAGCTGAAGGAGGAGATCCGTGAACACGGGACGTTCGAGGTGCTGACGAAAGAGATCGAAGAAATCACGACACGCCAGAGAGAGGAGGAGGCCCTGCTCGAGGAGCAAGAGAGGCTACGAAACACCGCGGCGGAATTGCAGAAAACAATCGCTGAGAAGAAGCTGGCCAATGAACAAGAGAAGAGACGAATACTGAATGAGCTCTCGGAAGAACAGGTACCGGCGCCACGTTTCTCATCGAAGACGCGTTGAAATTTTTAATTTTGCGTTCGAACACACACACACACACACACACACACACAGCGTAACGTGGAGAAACTGAAATTAATCGCTGACACGGAGCTGGATTATGTTACGGAATGGGAAAAAGCGAGATACGAGCAGGATTCGTTGCGTTGCGACATGGAAGTAAAACAATTGGAGAAGATATTGAACAAGTGGCGTATACGTGAAAAAAATGAACAGCGTGTCCACGCCGAGCTGACGAAATTCCTGACTCAGGAAACAGCGGTGAGTGTCGCATTATTTCTGTTTAATTAGCTGTCACAAACTTCTGCATTGTTCGTTCACCTGCAACGTAAGAAAAAAAAAAAAAAGAAACAGAGAATGAAGCTAGGATTTTTCAAATCAACAGTCGTTAGAGAAAAAGACCAAGGAATGGGAGGAACGATACGCACGAGAAAAAGAGACGTACGAGAAGGAGATCCGGCAGCTACGTATTGAGATAGAAACACGTCGAAAGGAGTTGGACGAACTTAAAGAAGAGGTAGCTCAGCTTCAACATGCAACAATAGAATTTCACATTTTGTTTCCTCTGAGACGAATTCCACATTAATCAGTTCGCAGGAATCGTCGATTCTTTTCAAATCGTTTCGATATACAGACTCGCGATTTCCTCTCTTTTTTTCCCCCACTGGCACGTTGTACAAATGAAAATCTTCTTTCTTTCTTCCTTTTCCATCCGCGGAAATTCATTTCGAGCGAAATGCACTAAAAAAGAAATAGAAATGTGAATGTAGTGTCAGAGCTTAAATATTCTGTGTGACCGGCTGATCTGCTGCATCACGATCACGTTAATCCTACTGGTAATCGAAACTCGACTCCGAGTCTTGCCTCTGCAAGAGTAGAATCAGCGTGCAATGCAGAAATTCTACCGGGCAATCGATAACTCGTGTCAAGAACCTATTTGTGGCTATTTTAAATCACATGGAATTTCATCGACGCAAAGGGAAAAGAGAAATCGTTGCCCTATCTCGGCTCCAATGGCTCCCTGGCTTTTAATAAACCGCTTGCAGGTCTGTTAAAACGTGAATTCTCTTCCAGTTCACGTGGTTACGTTCGCGTTACGAGCGAGTTAATTAGCAACGAACAAATGCAAATAACTGCACGATAAAAACGAGCTCGCGAGCCCGTTTTCTTACACGTTTCTTTACTTCGTTTCTTCGTTTTCCTCTTTTGCCCCTCACTCTCCCTTTTCATATTCGTTCGTGTTTCATTTTTCCTCTACGACCTGATCGTCGAATCGATTGCCCCCCTGTGTTTAAAATAAAACCGTAACGATGTTGCAGTACCGTTCTAATCAGGAATTCATAGATACGCACCTGGCTAAGAAGGAAGCACTAGAAAAGGAAAGAGAACGTCAGGAACTTATGCAAAAAAGCGCAATCAAGATTCAAGCTTGGTGGCGAGGTATTATGGTACGACGGAAGTTAGGGCCATATCGACCTACGGAGAAGAAGAAGAAGAGACAAGCTAAGACAAAGAAATAACTCTCTTTCTATTTGCCTCGCTTTTTAATACTGTACTGCTCAAATACATATCCCCTCGCTACTCCTGAAACAGTGCCCGAATGAAAATAATATTTATTCTTCATTTTCCGTGAAATTTGTATTTTTTTTTCTTTTTTTTTTTTTTCTCTCGCTTCGTCTACACTTCATGCATCTCTCATCGCAGTCATTAGTATATAAATGCAAAGTAAATAAAATCCAATCCGATCGAACGAAAGCCTTGATCTTTGAGTTATTTGAATTCGACCAATCGAACAGAGAGAGGAAAGTAGAGAATGGCCCGTGATTATCTTCGATGGACGATCCATGTGAAATCGAGGTAGTTCGAGATTACTGAGTAAGTTCGACGATTTCCGACAATGCTCGGGAACTCCTACAGACAGTTTGGCATTCCCGTGAAAATTCCCAAGAGAGTTCAGAATTCCCCAGAGAGTTCAAGATTCCTGAGAGAGATTCCTCAAGAATGGTTTGGCTTTCAAGAAATCTCGGAAGAAGATTCTCGGTAATTTCGTTGATTGCCGAAAAGCAAGAATCTTATTATTGGGAATTATGGGCATCTGTGTCTCGAAGAATCAACAAAGTCTCTGCTCTTTTTTTTATATTGTACTTGATTGTTCAAAATCAAAAGAAATTCTACTATTTTCGTTTGGAACCAGGTCTTCGATTCTTAAATAGCATCCTTTGACCAGAGCAAATAAATAAATCAAAGTGCAGCACCCATTGTGATAAATATCAAAGAGAAGGAAAGTTATTCCTGAAACGTAACTAATAATTCCTTAATTCTTTTTTAATCTCCGCCGGTTCGGCTGTTCCAGTTTAATAAATCTTTCAAGCCCACTTACAACGTTTGCAAATTAGAACGAAATAACCTATTGTAATTGCGTTCATAGCCACGCAAGTAACAACCTTATTCAAGGTGTAAATGCACGTTCGCTGGTCGCATAACAGAATTTAATTTTGATGCATGTACGTAGTCGGAGTGCTTGAACACGGAACGTGTGACTATAATAAACGACTAAAAATCCTGCCCGAGGCTACACTTCCTTTTTTTTTTTTTTTGGCTGTCGTAGCGAAACACGTAGAACTTACACGACGAGAAAGTTTTTGGTCATTTTGATAGTAGAATTTTCCTAGGGTTGTAACCATATGTTACATATCTATGCAATTGTCCAATCCCTCTGCAGCGCGTTATTCTTCTCTAAATTTCTCCGAATCTTGATGAAACTTTATTTTATACTCAGTTATTAATATTTTGTTTACTTTACCAATTTTCCCTTCTGAAAGCATACGCGTGATCAACAAGAAGTATTAAACAACTTTATAACACTACGGTACTGCTATGTTAACTAAACCTAACCTAAACCAAGATTCGAGATATTTATGATTTCTCTTGATATAATTGACCAAGTGAAGTCTCTACTCTGTTAGTTAACAAAACTATCATACCATAGAAACGATATTAAGTCTATCAAAAGAATTGAATCTCAGTGAATAATAACCTCGATATGGAAGTTTCCAGGAATAGCTTCACAAAGTGGGAAATGGCAGACATTTAGCTTGGCCATATACTCCGAAACATCATGGCGATACCTGTCACTCGTTTGTGACGCAGCCAAAGTTCCTGGTTCGACAACGAGCAGCCATGCATTTTCCTTCATGAGAAATTCACGAACTCTTTAACCTACTCTGTTTGAAAGCATGCAAGCTTACCGCCGTGACCGTGCGGCCAACCACCTCCTTAGATTACGATATAAGGAATGGTTTAACACGTTGTGGCAGTGCACGCACCCGATAGCGCACGGTCTGTATATACAGGGTGACCGATGACTCGTGGTCAACCGACTGGGAGGTGATTCCACACGTAAAAATCTGTCGAAAAGAAAGAATAAAATTTGTTCGTTAAAGCCTTCGTTTCCGAGAAAATCGAATTTTACAAGTTGTAAAAAATTTATACAGCTATATACTTGACTTTGGCTAATTCCACACTGGACAGGCGTGAATAATCGATACAAGGATATTTTACACGCAAAAATGAGCAGAAACTGTAGAATAAAATAATAATTGACAAATTTTATTCTTTCTTTCCAACACATTTTTACATGCACAATCACCTCCCAGTCGATTGATCATGGAGTCGCGGAACACCCTGTATATGTTACACACATACATTCCTTTCTGACCTACCTTTCATATAGGTTCCATCGTAATTTATATCATAAGCGAATGTATAACGGCTGATTTTCAGCAGTGAACTAAATCGATAAAGAAATTCGTCCTTATATTTCCTTGTCTTTATATTTTCGAATCTACAAATAATTTAAAAGAATTTGGTTAAGTATTAGATGTTTTTTTTTTCTTTTTTAACAGAAGAAAAATTTTATTAAGCCCTTATCTATGTACGTCTTTAAAAGTTGAAAAAGAATATTATATTATATTCCTTCATTATATTCCTCAAACTTGTTATGGTCATGTTTTTGTACGTTCATTCGAAGTGTCGAAGGTCACTTTAACAAATAATAATAGTATTCATTTAAACTGAACAGAAATAAAACGTACTTTATCATTGTTAGTAACTTTTAATTACGCTCTTTTGAAAATTCGAAGTGAAAATATTTTTCACACAGTTTCGTAGCTACATACTGATTTTGTCACTTTCGACACGAATAAGTTTAAAATATGATTAATTCCTAGATCCTGCGTAACAAAATCGCAGAGGGCGCAAGAAGCTCTATAATTTTTTTTCAGGTCGGTATTTCAGAATCTGAAAGATGCAGACAGATTCTGAAATAGATGAAATAGATACATTGACTAAATACAGGCATTGATCATTTAAATATCTCTGTCACAGGCCTCTGTCATTTTAAATGAATTGCTTATAAAAACCATTAGTCGATAATGTCGAGTAACTCGGAAAAAGGACTAAGAGGGCTCCAGTGATTTTACAAATGTACGTATATATTTTGCAATATTCATAGTTATAAATTAATCATTGTTAACTCGAAGTTATGTATAAATAACTTGCTATATTATAAATTTTATTATTGTAGAAAATAATTACACAAGTTTATTTAATTGTTCACTTCTAATCAACGAATTGAAAAGGGAAAAGGAAACTTACTTGCACCACAAAATGCAGATTAAATAAGATTAAATAAAATATTTTTAATAAAGACACAGTTATGGCTACTATCGATGCAGAAATTAATAAGAAGAAGAATAATTACTTAGCAGCATATCACATTCTAAAATTTTCAAAAAGTGACAAGAATGATACAGAAGCTGTAGATATTGAACGCAGATGTTTTGCTATCAAATATTTAACAGCAAGACAATCGTAAGTTCTACAATTTTATTTTTTTTTTTATTCTAATATAAATAATTTATTGTTTCTCATTGTAATTAAATATTCATACAGTGAGTCAGAAGATATGGCGGCTTGTCTACTCCAAAAAAGCTTGGAAGATTATCAAGGCTTAATGGAAAATAGAAATGGTGTAAATAATTATTGGAAGCAATGTAAGCTACAAACACCAAAAATCACTAATAATTCACAGAAATGGAAGTCAGGTTTATGTGATGTAGATATAGCGCTAAACTTTGTGAAACCTTTGGCTTGCCAAGATAACAATAGCATGCCTTGTCGTGAAAGATGCTTCAATGACAGACATGTAGAAAATATTATCAATGTATGGAAGAATAAAGAAATTGTATCGAGAAATAGAAAGATAAGTATTCACGCAAAATCACATCTTAATCAGAGTCCAAGTACAAGCCATAAAAAAGAAATTGAAGATAATGTGCAATGTGAAGTTGATAAGTCTTCCTTTTCATCCAATAGTTCTGCAGATGAAATTATTAGTACACAAGTGAATTGTAATAAACAATTAAAGATATCTAAGTTTTACTCTGTGAATCAAGAAAATCAAAATTACATTAAACAAAAGTCTACTAAGTTTGAACCTAAATCACACTTCAAATTTACAAGAGAAGAGTCACTTAAAGCATGTAAAAATAATCAGGAATTGAATTATCATAGAAATAATATGAAATTAAAAGCACCAGTCTCTGTCCAGCATGATGAAAAAGATTCTAACATTGCTAAATCTAAAATGAACTTTTTCAAAACTGCCAGAGACGAATTAAACGTACAGCAAATGAAAACTAATAAGCCAATGCAAAAGAAGACTTTAGGTGGGAAGGGATCGATTAATTCTCAGTTTGTTTGTCCATTTAAAAGGGAAAAAGAGAAAGCTCAAGAAAATGCATATAATAACGAAAGTGAGTCAATGGAAATAGGAGATGAGAGACTTAAAAATGTAGAACCAAAAATGGTTGAACTAATAAAGAACGAGATAATGGATTCAAAAACAACTATTTGTTGGGATGACATAGCTGGTCTAGAATATGCAAAGAAAATTATAAAAGAAGTAGTTGTATATCCTATGTTGAGACCTGATATTTTCACTGGTTTACGTAGACCACCTAAAGGAATCTTATTGTTTGGCCCACCAGGTACAGGAAAAACACTTATAGGAAAATGTATAGCATCACAGAGTAAATCAACATTCTTTTCAATATCAGCGAGCTCCTTAACTTCAAAGTGGATAGGCGAGGGAGAAAAGATGGTCAGAGCATTGTTTGCTGTTGCTAGAGTTTATCAGCCATCAGTAATTTTTGTTGATGAAATAGATTCATTACTTACTCAAAGATCCGAGACTGAACACGAAAGTTCTAGAAGATTAAAAACTGAATTTTTAGTGCAGCTGGATGGAGCTGCAACTGCAGACGAAGATCGTATTTTAATTGTAGGAGCAACGAATAGACCACATGAACTAGACGAAGCAGCACGTAGACGATTGGTCAAAAGACTATATGTTCCCCTGCCTGAATTCAAAGCTCGTAAACAGATCATAAATAATTTATTAATAACTGTTCCACATAATCTTACTGAAGAGGATATAAATAATGTAACTGAACAATCAAAAGGATATTCTGGAGCCGATATGTCAAATTTATGTAAAGAAGCTAGCATGGGACCAATCAGAAGTATTCCATTTAATCAATTAGAGAATATTAGAAAAGAAGATGTCAGACAGGTAACAGTTGATGATTTCAAAGAAGCATTGATACACATGCGTCCGAGTGTATCAGAATCAAGTCTAACAACTTATGTTGAATGGGATGCTATATATGGAACTGGAACAGCGCAGAATTATAAAGCATAACACATATTTTTATAATTTTTAATATTACAATTTTATTTTTCTAGTAAATATTTTCACAATAAAAATATTTATTGATATAGTTAAAAATTTAGAATTTTACGTTATACTTATATCTATATGTTAATTTCCATTATATAAATTCAACAAAATAAATTTTTTGGCTGTAACCAACAATTAAATATTCCTCATTGTAAACCATTATATTTAATGAAATAACAGCTGAGGAATCAAGACATAATTTTTTTGAAGTGATAATATCAAAATTAATTGTTCCAAAATCGTCTATATAAAATATATGAACATTTCCTAAAAAAAAAATTATTTAATATAATTCTAAATGTTATACTTAAGTTATACAAAAAGATTACCTGAGTCTAAGCCCAAAATAAGTATATGACCATATACTAAAATTACAGTAGGAGTCCCATGTAAGATAGGAAATAAATTATGGATTTTCCATTTATTTTGCACCAAAAAGCCTACGTATCCATACTCTATAATTACATTGAAATATTTTATTAATTTTATTTAATTATATTTAATGTATAAGATTTCTTACCTGTAATACACGCAATTATATTTGGTTTAAATACATAATAATGGCGAATTCTTATATTTGGTGGTAGAGCATGTATATAACTACACTCTTTTGTATCATCATCCAGAAATATATTTACAAAGTATCCTGTTTCTGTGTAAAACAGCACCTAAATCATATTTTAGTATGAATGTTAAATTAAACAATTGTAATTTCTTTAAAGTTTCTTTGTTATTATTACTTTATTATAGTTTGCACCAATAGCAACAACATTGTCTGCACCAAATTCATATAGTCTTCTTGGTATAGATCCTTCAATACTGATTTTATTATGCATGGCAATATAGCAATAACTGTAACTTGTACTGTTAAATATTGATTATATTAATTGCTTTGATGTATACATATATATTTATATATTGTATTCCTTAAGCCGTACCAAATAAATTTTCCATGAGTTATACTAAGTAGTTTCAATGTCTTCACATCCCAGAAGCTTATGTGGTCATTTATAGAACAACATAAACAAACAATATTTGTTTCTATAAAACATAAACGTATAATTAATTATATATGTATCATTAAAAGTACTCATTAGATTTTTGTTTATAAAAATTTATAAATACCATCTCTGAGAAGTTTTATACTATGTACATACTCCATATGATTAATTACATATTCGCACGTTTGTAGATTGGGAAGATAGTACAAATAAATCAATCCTTCAGATGTCCCTATTGCTAATAAATTTTCTAAAAAAAAAAAAACATTTGTTATACATATTGTGTATAATTGTATATCTTCAACATACCTGATGTATCTGTACATGTAATGTATTCTGTAGGATTGTCTATTAGTTTAACACATTTACTTTGTGTATCACACTTTGTCATGTTTTTGCATTTAATCCATAATTTATACATTGCTATCCAAAATTGAACATCATATATCTCATGAAAATTAGTATAAAATTTTTTTGAATTTAATGTTTCACACAAAGTAGACCAAAACTCTTCAGGAATTTTATTTTTGCACAATTTGTACCATTGAGCGCTTTGCTATAAAAGTAAAATAGAAAATTAATATTCATACAATGCACATATATACACACATATATACACACATATATACACAAGCCACAGGCGTGCGCGCACACACACACATATGATCATATGAGTTCCATTAAGAGCATTAAAATTTTGCAATTAAAATTATAATTATTTACCTGCAACATTTTATCAATAATGTCTTTCCAACATTTACAAATTATTCTCATATTTACAAGCGTCGGTGGATCGACGTATAAAAATATACGTTCCCATATTTCCACAGGGAAAATCATTATTAAAATCGTATAAATCAAACGGATTAAATGTATTTAAATATTCAAATACAAAATATCCAAGTATTTATATATATTATACCTCCTGCTAACTGCTACTTCTATAACTGCCAATGTACACGTGCACTGAAGCTTTTGTCAATCGAAGCTTTCGTTATCGATTTTCAATGCATTTGTTATTGCATTTAAGAAATTTCGAAAATTTCTGAAATAAAATATTGCGTGAGCAATCATAATATTGGATTAAAACACATTTTTTGTTTCAAAATATTATTTTTCTAATATAAAATTTTTAAACCGCAATTTTATTGATCAATTAACTAAACAATTTTTAAAATTTTTAAAAATTTCAACGATATTCTAATTTTTCTAGATTTTAATAATAATCTTAATAATATAAAAAAAAATAATATAATAATAATATTGTAATGATATAATAATTAATTAATTTTCTAAACAATTAAATTAGATCCTGATAATCTCCGGTAAAAAAAATTGGCGAATATTTGAATTCTGTTTATGTTATTAATGAACATTTATTAAAGGATTTTGATTTATGGCAAAATTTATTTATAAGTTTTTGGGTAAAAAATATATTATATGTAAAATATTATACAAAAATAATTAGTTTATTCTATATCTTTATTATATATGAAAAATTGCATAAAGTTACAGAATTCGGAAGAGTATATCGAGGTTTCGTCACATATCAGGGAAAGTGTTCTAGTTTCAATACAAGATTGACTAGAACGATAAAAAAAAAAAAGACTTGAAAAGGTCAAGAGCATTTCGTGTCGAGTCGAATCAATAAATATTAAATTACAGTTTAAAGAAGGGCACCCACGCTGAAAAGTTTTTATTGGCTAAGAAACGCGATATGACATAGAGAATATGGATTTGACATTAAGCCAGTGGTTTTACCTAGTCTCGCACGTGTACGGATGAGTGGAACCTCTAACCTTAAAAATTTGAAATAATTTCGTTTTTACAAGAATAACTAACACATTATCCTGTATAACTGATTAAAAAATGGCAGATCAAGGTACAAATGATTTCTTTTTATATTTATAATATTATCTTTTTTATATAATGTAAAATTTGAGCGGCTGACAACATTTATAGTTACACATATTACATTTTAATTATTTTGAAAATTCTCATAGCATTTATTTAATTTAAACGTAACATAAATAGTCGTACAGATATTTTGAAATTTACTCAGTAATTTTCTAAATGATCAAAGGAATACATTTTACTATTGATATTAAATTTCGAGGTTCTTAATAATGTTCAATGTAATTATAAATTGATTTCTTTTAATGTTTCAGCTATTCCTTCAAAAGACAATTATGAAAGTGAAACGGATGAAACAAGCGACAATGATAGCGGAGATGATTGGGATGAAGTAACAGAAGATTTTGAATCTATACCATGCCTTTTTTGTAATGAAATCACCAGTAACTTTTCTATGGCATTGGAGCACCTTACAGCATTACATAAATTTGATTTGAAAGACTATATAATCAAAAATTGTTTGGATACTTATACCTACATTAAATTAATTAATTTTATTAGACACAAAAATATCTTGCCTGATCAATTGAATGCATTAAGCATAAAAACATGGGAAAATGAAGAATATTTAAGACCTGTTATAGAAAATGATCCTTGGCTAATGTTTGGTAAGTATAGATATAAGTGAGTTAATTATAAATTAATTAATTTTTCTTTATTATTATTGCACATAAAGATATTGAAGAGATAGAAGAAAAAATAACGAAACCTGTTGCATATACTGTAAATTGGGAGAATGGTCGCGTCACAATGTCTGAGACACATTTCGCTGAATTACAAAGAACTATACAAATACTTAAAGTGCAATTAGAACAACGTGAATCAGCATGCTTCTTAGCAAAACAGGTATTCATTCGCATAATATATCTATGTGTTAAATAAAACAAATATCAAAGCATATTCAATTTCAGCAAATAGATGAAATGTCAGAAAAAGCACAAAAATTGGTTTTGGATAGCGATTTAGATGAAAACAATAGCCTTAAATCTGGTAATTCTAATTGTAACGTTGATAAGGGTTACTTTAATACATACAATCATTTTGCTATACATCATGAGATGTTAACAGTAAGTGTATGGATTGTTCTTTAATAATGAGTACAATATTTTAATAACAAGGACAATATTTTTGCAGGACAAAGTACGGACTGAAAGTTATAGAGATGCATTATTAACAAATGCTAATAAATTTAGTAATTGTGTGGTACTAGATGTTGGTTGTGGAACTGGCATTCTTTCTATGTTTGCAGCGAAAACCGGATGTCGCAAAGTAATCAGTGTAGATCAGTCTGATATAATATACCATGCAATTGATATAATAAGGTAGATGAAATGTCTACATGTATATAAACAGTTCTTTTAATATTTGGATTCTCCTTCTGGAATAATTCTTTTTAATGCATTTTAGGGAAAACAATTTAAGCGATATTATCACTTTAAAAAAAGGTCGGCTCGAGGATATTAACCTTGACGAAAATAAAGTAGATGCGATCGTGTCTGAATGGATGGGATATTTTCTCCTGTTCGAAGGTATGTTGGACACAGTGATTTACGCAAGGGATAATTATTTAACTCCCGGTGGAATACTTCTTCCTAATAGATGTACACTCAGTATTGTGGGAAGTGGAGATACAAGTATGTATTTTTTAAATTAACGGAATTATATTATTCTCAAACATTCCTATTTTAACTTATTTGACTGACTTATTAATTTTTGTAGGAAGATATGTTGAACTTATTGATTATTGGTCAAATGTGTACGGTTTTAAAATGAGTTGTATGAAAGCGGAAGTTGTGCGTGAGCCGAGCATAGAAATTTGTAATGCCGACGAATTAATAACGAGCACTGTTGAAATTCAAGCGTTCGATTTATACAAAGTTACGAAAGATTGCGTAAACTTCTCGTCACCTTTCGAACTTAAAGTAAAGAAGACTGGATCACTGACCGCAATTGTTGGCTATTTTGATATCTTCTTTGACTTGGACAATCCAATTTATTTTAGCACGGGACCTTGCTCGCCTCCAACACATTGGAAACAAACAGTATTTTCGTTGAGTGAACCTATTAGCATTACCGAAGGTAAGTTCAATAAAAGTTGAAATATAAAAGTTACTGATTGTTAAATGGAGAAAAGTAAATGCAAGAATTTTTTATAGGGGAAATATTACGTGGTAAATTAGTCTGTCGTAGACACGTCCGAGACATTCGAGGACTTATGATTACAATTCATATTAAGAATATGAGCCAAGTTTATTATTTAGAGTAATCGCTTTGAGGACTATTTAGTAGACGTAAGTGCCAAAAAAGGGGAAAAAAAGATAAAAATCAAATAAAAATATAGGGTCCATAACAGCTTGCTGACTATAAAACTGTTGACGACTATCATTAAAAATTAAATAGTAGGTGAGGTGCGAAAAAACATAGGAAAAATCGTTCGATACCCGTATTTTTTACGATATTGCGATTTACATTTTAAACCCTTTTAAAGACCGTAGAAATTATATAACTCGGTATATATACGAAAAGCTTCGTCTCCTGCAATGATGAGGGTAGATATAAATAATTTTTATAGAATTTTTTTATTTTATTAAAATTTTTTTATATAGCCAAAGATTATGTTGATCGTTTTTTATAAATTATCTTACATAAGCACAGTGCACATTCTTTCTACAGGACATCGTCGTAATTAATGCGAACTTTATAGTAGACATTGTTTACGATCTGTGCCTTTTTCACAACTTACATTTGTAATTGACCATAAAGTTAATATTTTGAAAGATTAAGTAGTTCCGAGATAAAAGTGATATGGTAATGTTTCATTTTACAATTCCGTCGAATTATGAAAAAAGTTTTCACGATAGTGATAAAAGAGATATTTAAGTATGTAACCTGGTTGCACAAATATTTTATTGAGTCAAATAATGATTACGGTCAGTTTTAAATTTGAAATATGATACTCCTTTGGATGCATGTATTTGAAAAAAAAAATCAAGTTTAATTAGTGCACCCGGGATTCTTGTTACGCTTTCATTATACAAACAACGATTTCGAATTCGCTCAAGTTAAATATAATCCAGCAGTCCTATAAATAATTCCGACAAATGAATTAAAAAGGAAATATGCATGCTTTTTACTGGCATATCTTCTTCCGTCGCGATACTGTGTATCTTGAATTTTAATAATTGATAATGAAATCGTCCAGAATTTATTTAAAAATACAAATATTTTTGCCAGTTTTCTTGCATGTACTATTGTAGAATAAGTATTCATATTTAATAATTAACCGTTAATGAGATGAAAATGGATACCAATTCAACATCCTATCTTATGTAGTTCATAAAAAAAATAATGTGATTACTCTCGATTTCGTTTAAGTCCATTCTAGGAAAAAATCCAAAATGGCCCCATATTGCTTACGAACTTGTAATTTAGTTCCCTCTTTTAAAATTGCCCTGCACGTTATTTATAAGCCAGGGTCAATTTAAAAAGTACTTATGCTTCCAGGTTAAGGTATGTAATACAACTCTGTGATATAAAAAAATAAGTAATAGTAAATTTATTTGATCGTAAGTCAGGAGAATTATTGCCTTTCTTGATTATAATATATATACTTTTACATAAGTAAATAATCTATTATGCTATGCTTAAAATCAAATAAATTGAAAAAAAATCTTACAAGTTTAAATTATTTCGCATTCACATGTTGCTATCACGTATTTTTATGGAGTCAATCATACATATATATATATAATTTTTTTTTTTATATATATAAAAATGTGAAAAATCTCAACATTTTTATTTTCATTCACACTATTTTTCTTTACATTATTTAAATCTCAGTATGTATCATCTATAATACTACTTTTTTTTTCTTAGTCTTTTAAAATTATCGATAAAATTGATACTCGAACAATTAACAAAATACTTATAATTTCCTTTTCAGTATCAAAATATGTTTACAAGTTTACAAAAATGTTATCTTTTTTAAAAAAAACTTTAAGATGTATGCTGTAAGCGAAGTTTACAGTAGATCACAAACGTTACTTTTATTTTTTTGTACAATTTTTATAGCAAATGAAATCCTAAACCTTCAATATCGGAAGTTTGGATTGTCAGTTTGCCAACCTTTTGCATTTGGTCCAAACTGATAAACTAATCTTCGGCCGAGTACAGGTTGAAAGATTTTACTTTTATAATAGTACCTGAAAAATTTTTTTATTTAAAAGATATTACATAATTGCCAAAATAAATTTAATCGAAAAAAAGCGAATGGAAAATTACCTCATCGCTCGGCTCAGTTTTTCATATGTCATTTTTGTGTTTCCTTTTCTTGAGCCCCATCGTTTTGCAACTTCGTCGCTCTTTACAAATCGGAATTTCGCCTGAGAGTAATCTTCCCAACAGATTAAACTCGGACATGTTTCTCGATTACGTAAAAGATCCCTGATGAACTCCCAAAGTTTTCCTTGACCAGTAGCTACATATATATCGTTACGTGAGTGTCGTCCAATTAACAAATACTTAAATTCAAAATACAATACTTACAATTCTTTTTTGGTTTTAACATTCTCGGTCTACCTGGTGGTCGTTTGGTAGTAGAAACATCAATACTATTATCTGACTCTGCATCTATAACAGTAAAATGTTTATGCATCTCATTATAAGAAAAACAAATTACTTCCTCTATAAAAAAAAAAAAAAATTCACATTACCTGATGTATTGTTGGAATTGATTCGCGCATATTCGTCTTCAGAATGGGGATGGATAGTATCAAACGATGGAACTACAATTATATAAATTTATTTTTATAAACGATCAACTACATCATTTGTAGTTTTTGTTTTAATGAATATTCACGTTGATTACATACGTATATTCGAAATATACTGAGAATGAAGTAGATCATAGAGTCGTTCTCCATACAAGGGATCGTGATTGATAAAGTCATATTTGGTAAAAGTGACCAACTCATTTCCTGGCACCGCAAGGCTATGTTGAATCAAGCTGTACGGTTGCCCGATGTAAGAAGCCGCAGACATCAACCAGTTTATTGTTTCTTCTTGACACCAGTTTCTAATCGGTTTGTCTGACCAGCCGGTGCCATCAATTTCGTTAGTTTCATCACCTGTTGAACATGGAGTGATATAAGAAAGTTGATAGAAATCGATAGGACATTGATAAAAATTTTCCACAGAAATTACCAAAGTAACATTTCTTTCGTGATGGTTCGTAACTGCGCGTGGTCAGGGCGTTAGTTTTCAGCGTGACCAACGAGTCCATATCCAGCACGAAGTGATCATCGTCGTCGTTTAGATTAGGAAACGAAGGACACACCTGCAAGCAGAACGTATTGGATAACAAACAAATCCGAAACGAAATCGAGTTTCTGCGTTAATGACCTTGCTGGCGTCTTCAAGCGTCTCGTCTCTTTTCATCGTGGAAGGCTGAGAAAAACGAGATCGCGGCAGTCTCGTTTTCTCGAACTGGCTTTTGTGCACGCGAGACGGAAATATGTATTTACGTCTCGATTCTCAGAGCATTTGCATAGAACAGATATCGGTAATTCGCGATAAACAACTGCAGGTCGTTGTTTCAAAGATTGTTTGTTTACTCCTTTTTCTTTTTTAATATTGCGCTTTCGGTTTTATGTAATGTATGCAGACATTTTAAATGATCAATAATGACAACATTTTAAATTAGTAAATTAGCATGCGTAAGTGTTGCTTAATTGCTAGTTATTAATCGATAAGTGACACTGCTTCAAACGATACATTTTCATAATCTTGTTTCTTTTTTTCTCTCTCTCGTATCTTGCATCTTCGCCAGTTGTTTTCTTTTTTTTTAATCTCTGAATATTCAATAGTCAGAGAAAATTCGTAAATTAACGTTTATTGGAATATTACTTTCTACATTTCTACATTTCGTACACGGATCATCATGGCTGATTCATCTTTAAATTTTTTAAAGGTAGTAATGAATTGAATTTTTATAACGGTCAAAAAATTCCGATTACCATTTGCATCAATATTTGCGCAATAGTTGCTAATCACCAACATAACTGATACGACAATCGTCAGAAATATTGTTTCATTTCGTCGAATGACAACAACTTTATTACTAACTTTATCACAAATCATTTCGCTAAATCTACAAATGCATTTGTTTTCGCATTTAGGTGCGAATACTCGTGCAATATAGACACTCGAGTTATCGCGTTTTCGATCATCGTTATTCTTCATAGAAATGCAATTTTTACGATCTTGCATTTTTTTCCCCAGTAAAAAAAAAGGAATAAATTTTAAATTCTAACTTGATAGAAATATATTTCATATTTCGTACGCAGCGTCCAAAGGACGAATTGAAACAAAATTGTTTGCTACTTTGTAAATCAATTGTAACAAATTGTTGGTTATTTTTTTCCGCTTCTGATTTGTTTTCGTTCGTTGCAACATTAAATATACAATATTGTTCATTCCTTTGCTCGACTTTATCTCAGTATTTACTCAAAATGCTATCGCTTGCGATATATATGTGTGAAGAAATTAAACTGTTTTACAGCTTTCTGTTTTTCTTCTCGTGCATGTGAATACCGATCGGGAAAATAATACACATGCATTTTCTTAGAAAGTTCGTTACAAAACACTAGCGACGCACGCGCCTGCGGTATTAACAAACGTCTCGGCCAAGCACGTGAAACTCGTTGCATTCTTTTCTTTGTGAAGAACAGTAGAACAGGTAAATAGTCAGTCACGTTAAACATATAAAAATCGCATAACAAATCTAACTAATATCAATTCAACTAATTCGAACGACTTTACAACATTTTATAAGTAAATTGTAACTCACCTCCGCCAAGTCAGTTCTGTCGTAACTACCGAACGGGTCCATCTTCGAATTCACTCGATTTTTCAATTAAATAAATACAAAGTCTGCCGCGTGAGCACAGCAACAGGTACACGTCCACGTCGTAAAAGACGATCACAATTTACGCAGAGATAAACTGTATGTATGTATGTCACAGCGCAGTAAGTCGCATCGCTGTTTATCGAGAACAGATTGCAACAAGTGAGTACACCTTCGACTGCAATTGAACACAGAGTCGTCACGGCGATGTCGCGCAACGCGATACTGATCGCCGGTCGCCGAAATGTCTCTGACGAAGACGGCGTCGCCAAGCTGTAGTGACGCGAAGACGTCAGTGGGAGTACCGCGGGGACGGATAGCGCGGATGAGCAGGTTTCAACGGGGATTTCCCGCTCTTTGGAATCGGCCAATCACCGGCGTTGTGCTTCACGATAGCTGACGCAATAATTGCGGATACACAACATTGGCGGCGGTCTCGGGGATCCGGAGAATCCAGAGACGAAAACACTACCGAAAATATATAGCTAACGCGATGGGTTATTCCCCGAGTGGCTTCGTTATTTTACAATCCAACGAGCTCGACCTGACTCGGCACGCTGGAGTATTTGTAGCGGTATTAAGAGTCGATCTCTAGTTTTTTCTCTTTTTCTTTTTTTTTTCTTTTTTTTTATTTTTCTTCATCCGCGAAATTTTCATTTTTTTTTCCAGGAGAAGTTAAATCTACGAACTTCACTGTTCTGTGCAATGGAATTAAATCTGAAATGATCAAGATTTAGAAGTGGTAAAGCTACGTTTTGTTTGCGAACTCTTCAGATTCCTCAGTCTGTATTTATTCGGGTCTTTTATTCCTGTATCTTTTCACAATATTCGCGATTGACTATAATTTATTAATATGTTTTTGTTATATCTCAGGGTATGTCCTAATTTCTGTTTTAAGATCATTGTAAAGAAGATACTATTATGTTTATCATTTAATCGGTCAGATTGAATTTTTGTTTTTAGCTATTCTATACAGAAATGATCTCACACATTTTCTAAATTTCTATTTTTCTCATTTATCGCCAGAATCATTTGGAATTTATCGAATGATACGGACTCAACTATACAATTTAATGTATGAATTAATAAAAAACTTTAGATCTTTTTGCTGAACCAAGAGAATTATTGCGGAAAAAAACGTCAGGTATCTAAATAAATCTAAATAAGTATAAATATATCTCGTGTTAAAATCAAAGTTTAAACATAGATGTAATCATTTACTGGAAGATATTTTCAAAAGAAAAAATGAAATTTAATTTTAGAAATGTGATTCACTAAATCGATGTAGATATTGCATATATCACGCTTAAAATAGGAGAAGAAAGGATTGCATCACAAAGAATTAATGTGTTCCATTTAAAATTCTAACACACAAAGTATCATCTCCCGGTTTGTGTGAGAAGTTTTTTAACATATACTTGGACAAATATATGTATGTTATGAAAAATACGCATGTGTTGCTTAAAATATATTTTTTCAAACAAGTGTGTAGGTTGTTTGCCGGCAAGTATGAGCACGTGTGTGGTGTTTTGAATTTTCCCAGTTTAAATTACTGACTCAACTGATCAATATCAATCTTTTTCTTTTCAGGTTAAAAGGTTGCATGTTCAATCAGTTGTATGTAAAATGATGCCACAAAAATAAGAATAGATAAAAAATAACATAATTAAACATGCATATCTATATATGCATATTTTATATATACGTTAACCAGAATGAAAATATTATCATAAACGACTACTTGTCGTAAACGGAATTTCATTGAACAGCGTAATGTAATGATTCATATTGATACTAATTTAGGTCAATAAGGTAGTATTTTTCTAATATGAATATTTAACTATAGACACACTTGATTGAACTGTTTATTTAAACAGGCTTCGATTTCATAATAATTTTATCTGATTACTTTAATTATTATATAAAATTATTCCCATATTTTTATATTATATTTACAAACTTTACTTTAATTATTATATAAAATTATTCCCATATTTTTATATTATATTACAAAAATTTTATATTAATAATCGTCTCAAATATTTTTAGTTAATCCATGCTATGACACCAAAAGCCAAAGGTGTATGTTAATTTCTGTAAAATGGAAATTGATATCGAATTTTGATTTTTTTCCTGGAAGTATCTTCTTTTTTAAAATTATTTATTGCAAATCAACAATGACTTGACATATGAAATTATCGAGGATGAAAATTCGTCTTTGCAGCGAGATTTCATCGTTACCTTCATGACATTGAATCGTTTGAAGATCTTTACTAAGATTCCATTTTTTTTTCTTTTTAACGGCGGTATTAATAGACACAGGTTGTTCGTCACATAATTCTCAATAAATTGACTAGTTAGAATCAATGTGAGAAAAGAAGAGAATAATATTCTGCAATAATGTGTTCCGCGCGCATATCAAATTTTCCTGGAATGTTGTAATACGTGTATGTGCAACAACAAAGGTAGGTAGACTTTCAATAATGCAAAAATTACATTTTTAAACTTTGTATGCATTACATGTATGTATATGTTACAGGAATATTTTCAATGAACCCGTTAATGCTTCCAATATCGTACGTTCTGGCGTGTATACATATAATGTTTCCATCACGTTCGTCCAGACAAAATGCAATATTCGGAAAAGCTCTCACATTGGCGGCGCCTATGGACTCGTTTATTTATAGTACGCCACGATGTCTCGACATCAGAGTGTAAACATGTCGGTAGTACCATGGACTTCATTTTATTTTACGATGTACCTTTCTTTCTTTTTTTCTCCCGCATGTCTTCTTTTTTTTTTTCTGTTCTTTGCAATTATGTCTCCGCACCGGGAAGAACGCGCTTTTTATCATAACCGCAATCCGTGAGACTCCTGGAGATTACTAATAACCAATTCGAGGAATTGCGATCGTGCAAACCAACCTTGTCGAGCTTTGATTTTATATCGGCTCTTTCGAAACATATCGTTTACTGCAAAGTGACTGAAAAGTCAACGAATGAAGGAAATGAAGAAGAAAACGAGGCGACGGTGATAAAGAAAAATAATTATATTGGCGCTGACACTAATTAAGGAAGTAATGGTATTTTTAATCAGTCCAGTTCATAAATTTATACGGGAAATATGAAGTTATGTGTCTGTGATTCATTTTGATCGTTCGTTCCATTTTCTACACGGAAGAGTGGAAAAATTGAAAGGCAACTTTTGAACCTGTTTCCTGACTCGTCATTCAGTTCTTCCTTTTTTGGTTTCTTTATCCTCTGAGTATATTATTTATCCTCAGAGTATATCACTGACCTATCATAAAAATTGTAACAAAGTCTCAATTTTAGTAACTTTCTTCAGATTTTCATCCTTCGTATTCCTCGGTAAAAATTTTTTTTTTAAATCCTGATAATTCTGTTAAACCGCGGTCTTGTTGATGCTGGTACATTTTCATTATATATTATGCACTTTGCAGTTTCTGCGGAAATACAATGAAGGACATCTCGTTTCGAGGGTTGTCCTGTAAGCATCTCTAACCACATCTCCTAGGATATGAATTTTGTGTATCTCGGTTTCCTCCACTTCCTAGATAGATCCTTCTCGTATTACACAAAGTTATCGGATCACTCTACATGTTACAAAGTTGTGTTATTTAGAAAGACTGCAACATCACTGTTTCAATTTACAGACTTGTATTATCATATTCTTATTCTATTTTCTGTTTGAATTCCTACTATATCGGCATTTCTATTTTCTTCGTTACGCTACGCTTGTGTAAAATCAAAACGAAATTATAAATGATAGCTATCATGTGATCGTTCATAGCTAGCAAACGAAAATTCCAACGATTCCTTTTAATTTACAAGAAGAAATAATTGACTTGTTCGAATAAATTATGCAAATATCGCGTACATGTGTATATGTGTACAATGTGGCCCATTTAATTACAGTGAAGTGGTAAATATTTAATTGCATCGATATCACGCGCGTTAAACTTATATCTTTTTAGAATGTTAAGATTAAGAAACTTAGTGGAAATACTTGGCGTCCTGTAAATAAACAATTTATATTACGCAAAAAGTGACGGTACAATTCTAGATACTCTATATGCAAATATTCAAACACACGTGTTATTACAAATGGAAACATAACTTCTTAAGTTCTTATCGTAAAAAAATTTTTTTATTCTTTTTTTAAATATATTACCACATTTATATATTTATTTGTGATTATTTGTCATTTATATAGAAATGCAAATTGGTTCGAACAAGTGCTACGCTTTGTAAACAGAATACACACACACGCGCGCACACACGCACGCACACACACACACACACACACACACACACACACACACACA